GGAGACTCAGGGGCTGTGAGTCGATTTCAAGTCAGGGCGGAAGAGCCTCTGAAAGAAATTGATGCTTTGACTCGTTTACAATCAGAGACTTACATAACATTGGAGCGGCTTTCTATAGTCAACTCCGATCACCAGCTCAAATATCTGTTACAATATCATCTGTTAATAATGTCAAAGAATGCCGTTCATTTTACGGAGCGAGAGAGTTTTTTTCATAGCTGATCATGATGAAATGTAGGTCCCACAAGTGAGTTCTCTATCGCGCGTATCGCACACACTAACACTGGGCAGACTGAACTTTGGAAATAAAAATTCAAGCAGTCACGAGCAATGTAAATTACCGGCGAATAAAAAAGTATTAGCGGACAAACTATGTCCTTGTTGTGACTTCTCCGGCTGCGAAATAGTATTTAGGCCGCCATAGTTACAAGTAACTCAAAACATCTACCGGACAACGTATAGATTCTGGGGTTTTATAAAACAAACTAAGAGCTCTAATAAACGTACCTTTGGATCTCAATATTAAGCTCGACGAAAATGCGAAATTTAGAAGAATTATTTCCAAAAAGATGTACAAATCAAGTTGAAATTATGCCACAAATTGAATCAACGTCGATTTGGCGAACAGTTGACAGTCGACCGCAATTACTTTGTGAGGTCTAATGGTGAACTAAAATTAGCATTGACGTTAAAAAAGAAAAAGTCACACAACTTCCTCTTTTATTTGAAGTTAAGGGACCATATTACGAGATAAAAGGTCGGGAAATGTTTTTGTCAGGAATGAATGCTGCATGTTTTACTCATCTATATATCTTGCTGCTTATCTCTTTATTAATTCACTTTATAGTGTTGATAAAGACACGTGTATGTCACGGTCGTGGTTCTATTGACCTATTCATGCCATAATTATCTTCAGACAAGAAGCTGACAAGCTTTTTGTATGTTTTCTATTGAAGCAGAGATTATTTAACAGGAAATCGTCATGCTCAACGAATTTCATCTATTCGTATAATTGGTTCACAGGGTTATGTTCGCACGAGCATTTGGCCCGATCACGTTCGGCTGGCGAGGTTTCAAAACGGAGTTTTCATTCGGAAACGCAGTAATCTCTTTATTACGGTAGAAACAGAAATAACATTTGACTGCGTCTATAGGCATGCAACTAATATAGGTTCAACCATCTCAATTGTGAATCAAAGTACTCTGTGAGCAAACTCGTAAACTGACAGATGACTTACATGATTTTTTGGATTTTGTTTAATGTTATCTGGTTTAGGGAATTTTGTCGTTGATTGTCATATTTAGAGTACGAGCAGTAGTTCAATGTTCGCTAATGTAGCAAGAAACAAAGTAAGGTTGGGATAAGAAGGCATTACAGTTGATGTACAACTTTCGCATTTTAGTACGTAATATTTATTTTGAATCTTCAAATTGTCTTGAAACTTAAAAGAACATTGTTCTTTAAAAATTCACTGAAAATCTGCAGCCAAAATTATTTGTTTAGGTGTTATTTGATTTTCGTGTTAACCTGTAATTTCGTCAGTCGCCGGCACCTTTTGTTGCTTCACACAGAAAAAACACACGATACGAAATGTACTGATCGATTTTGTCCTCAATCTCACGCCATAACAGAAAAAGCTTTTGAACACCTGTAAACTCCGAGCGCTTCGAAGTAAGTGATATTTTTAATGAATCCTCGGATTATTTTCAAGTTCAAGGATTGTAAATTACAATTTTATAAAAAAAAACGAAGGTTGCTCTATTATTTCAGTGTGAATCCTCGCAAGCCTGCCAGTCGCTGGCGCCGCTTGTTGAAACTAAAACGAAAAATATAAACTCTTTTAAGATTATTATTGGCTTCTTTTTCACCCCACCATTATTCTTCTCCACATCATATCTACAACTCACTCTTGCGTATGCGCGCAATTCACGGGTTAAAAAGGACAGTCATGATCACGGCAATGAAAGCTGAGAAAAGGGCAGAAACTTGACAATTCTGGGTTTGAAAATAATTATTCCATGATACACATGCAGTTTGCTGTTTACTGTATTTCAAAGCTTCCCTGCATTTACCCGGAATGCACGTGCATAAAAGACCATGTCAATCTGGACCTAAGGGGGTAGACTAAGTGCTTATGTATTTCTAGTGGCAAAATGGAAGGGAGAAATTAAACTGTATCGTTTCATTCAATACTGGCGCTGAGCGTCTTACGGTATTAATTACCACGCGTGACAAAAACACTCATGAACACACTACCCATTAGGAAATCATGACAAAAATTTTTTTTAAACACAGAAAAAAAGTCGTTACCTCTCAAGGATTGAGTGCAACGGAGTATCTGTGCTTATTCTCCTACGAGTATACAGAAAGTTTAACCAACTAGTGCCAGGTTATCCAACTGACAGGCCAGACATGACTTTGGTATGTGTTCTGCACAAATTACTTGCTCAACGTAACTATGATGTGTCTTGCTCAAGTGAGGATTTTATATCACTTAAACCTGGCTTGCTATTGTTGTAAGATACTAGATAATGCATCCATTCTCCCAAAAGCCCCTATAATTCACAAAAGTTGTTTGCATGATGGAATTTACTAAAGTTATCCTTAAAAATACGTCATGGTGTTGGAAAAACAGTCAGACGAAATGGGATGGAAATTCCGAAAAACTGCATACTTGGTGCACCTTAACTTCGCATCATGGTGAAAGTTGTAGCAAGTCTTTACCAATATAAAATAATAGTGACATTGGAGTTCACATATAATTTTCGAGTTCCTGTCCTTTTTCAACGAAAATGTAAGATGTAAATTCCAATTGAACACACCCTGTTTCGTTCTCAGAATCTACTCTTGATCGACGATCGGAAAGAGAATGTTCGATAAAATAAAATATATGCAACTGACCTGTAAGTTAATCTGCACCGGGAAAGTGCTTACTAAAGCGGCAAATGTTTGTCAACCGACTTGGGTTCTAAAATGAAGCCTGTTATCTACCGCTGCTGTATTTTCAACAGTATTAGACACCTGTCACAACAAGGTAAGCTCAGAAAAGTAAAGTATTGGAGGATTTTGGTTGTGTCACGAGGAAATTTATTTGATCCACCAATAGTTATTTGTATTAAATTAACGATCCCCTCCGCTTTTGGCAGTCGATTTTCTCTATATTTTCCCCTTTAAAATCTGTTAGAAACGACGGATCTTCCCTCCGTTCCCTTAAAAACAATGTGATCCTCCCTCCCCCAAAAAAAGTTTTAGGACACACCCCCCACCCCCCCCCCCGCGAAGAATAATGACATTCCTTTAGAACGTTTTTTTTTTCTCGCCAACACAGCAAAATCAGGCTACAATGAGATAATTCAGTTCTTCTTTCATTGTGAATACAGTTTGTTTCAAACTTGCTTTAGGTGGTAGATACTGACTTCTATCTTTATGGCTGGAAGGGGTCGTTTTGCATACTAAGAAACAGTGCATAAACTATCTTTTGGACTTCGGTAACCCAGCTCTCGCTAGAATTTGAAGTTTTAATGTCTATTTTGAGATTTATTTTTCTCTATTCCGAAGCCCTTCTTGCGACTCGTCACGAAAAGAGGAGAATGAGATAAGAATTTATGAGGATTCGGCATCAGTATTGTGGGATAAATGGAGCTCTGTACTTTTATATTTTGATTGGTCATCCGGATCCCAGCTTGCTATTCCACCTCCGGTCGTAAATTACCTGGCAGCAAGACTCATAATAAAGACTCTGAAGTGCAAGGTGGGTCATTTTTATCAGTATTTTTTGTTTGTTTGTTTGTTTCCTTAACCCTTTTCTCAAGTAGGTATTGCACTGCACACCTACCCTGACAGTAGTAAATTTTATTTAATTACACTTACTTTAGCAAAACAAATTTCAATTATTTAACATAAAGAAATAAAGAAAAATACAAAGTAACAAATATCAAATTACCTTAATAAAACAGGGGCATAGCTGGGGGAGGGGGGGGTTTCTTGGATGTCCGTGACCCCCCTTCGTAAGCCTTTTTTGAGCAAACAAACGTTAATTTTCAGGTGGCGAAAATAGGTGAGAATCCTCTGTTTGACACAATGTGACCTCCCCCTTCCTTCAAAAACCCTGGCTAAGCCCCCGTAAGAGCAAAGTGATTAGTGGCCAAGGGAGCAAAAGCTTCCAAGTCGGCGACTACCACAATAAAAGTAATGAGGACTACGTAGTAGGATGTTTTAATTTAACATGATCAATTACTTAAATTTTCCTTCCAGCTACATTGGAAGGGTAGTGAAAAGCACACGTTTTTATAACTGTGATATTTTGATGTAAAGCCTACTCTAGGGCACAAAAAATGCACTGAATACAAAGTGCACTTGTCCGCCCTGTTTAACCGGGGTACAAACAACATGACAAAACTGCCCTTCCTGATAATGTGCACGGTCAATACATACACCTCATGAATGGTTTAACATATAATACGCGCAGCGAGGAAAAATACGAGCAATGAGCAAAATGTCAGCTCGCATTATTTGTTTAACCATCGAAGAAAGGATGTCTTTTGGCTTCTAGGTTTCAAAACTCCGTATGGTTTAATCTGAACATCGTACTGATCGCACAAGGAACACGCGAAATAATAACACAACACCAAAGAAACCATTTATGTGTTCCTGATGGCATAAAAAAAATTCTTGTGAGTTTCGAAGCTTGTTGATGAGAAAATCATGTCTAAAAAACTGACAGGGAAATTAAAGATCGAGCGGACCGTTTTTGTTCGTATTGTTGCCCTGTTCTACAGTGAAATACCGGAACTAAACTCTAAACGTCGCAAAGGTTGGATGGACGTTGAACTGATATCAACACACTAATCAACAGACGAGCGATCCGATATGATTTACTCTACTCGTGTTCGATAATTTTAAACTAAACTACAAACAAAAGGCTAATTTAAGCGACACGGAATTACCAAGGCCGCGAGCAATAGTTGCATTACAAAAAATACACAAAGGCAAGTTAAAACTAACGTTTTCCCTGTTCGTCCCCTCCATTTGGTTCTAGGACATCTTCATCGCCACCGAAATTTCTAAGCGAAACAGGACTTTCGAATCCATTGACACGATCTTGGATGCTCTTGATTTTCGAAAGCAGAAAATAAAGCAGACCAATAGTGAATCCATGAGCAATTACCAGCAATACAACAAAAATCAAGGTTAACCAGTTGAGGACTTTCCCATCTTCCTTTCCTAAGAATGAACAGTTACTTTTTATTATTATTAGCTATTATACAAAGTACATGCACTATGTAATACTGTGGATCACAGAAACCACCCAGTACAAAGCATATTGAATGGCTGACATTTTATTGTGGCTTAATGTTTCGTGTGAATTAATAGGGAAGGAACATGTGTGTTCTACTCGTGTGGGATTTTATCGGGAAAGTTTTTTCCCATAGTTAAGTATCTGTTACATAAATCGCTATGGCCCTATTTTCCATTTTGCAAGAATTAATTAACCTCAATTTAACCTACAAGGGTATCACAGGGAAGAAAAAAGTGATATTGCTGAAACATGACCAGTTGAATAGAAAACCAAAGCAGCTGAAACATCTGATATCAGTAATACTGGTTAAATTTGTAAAGATTTCGATCGAGTTTTCGCCTTTTTTCTTTTCTTCAAGATAAAAAAGCTAACATAGAAACAAAGAAAACAATAACACCACTCTTTTTGGCCATGTATCTTCAGAAAAGATGTCTTATTGCCTCTTAGCTAACAAAAAAAACCAAGATAACCAATAAAGAACCCTTTGAAAGCTTAAGTAGTGATCCTCGCTAAGTGACAACGGTGTTTATATACCTGGGGGTGAGGTGATTGCGGGCTCAAAAGGTCTGGAATATTTAGCTTATTGCTGTAACATGCTAGACTAATAGCCTAAAAAGAGTGGAACGATTCATTTAAAGAAAAGAAAAGGAACAGATGTATACTTACTTAGGGGAGGTGAAGCTGAGGGTTTTTGGGTCTCTAAAAAAAAGTAAAGATCATAATATTAGAAAGTAAGATTTTCTAACCTTCGTCTATAATATCCTTCTACTGATTACTGTAAAAAACAAACAAACAAACGAACAAAACAAAAACAAAACAAAACAGAACCCCTAACGAGATTAAGCTTAAGGAGCTTAGTGCGCGAATTATAGACAGATGTCCATAGGGATTTAAAACAGAAAAAAGTGGAAATACCCATCGTTACTCAGAGCGTCACCTACATATAAATATGACAAAGAAGTTATCCAGGAACCATGCAACGCAAAAAAAATAAAAAAGTTTCACATAGACCGAGAATATCCTATTCAACAAACAACATACAGAAAAAAAGATATAAAATAAGAAAACATGCGAACAAAGAGAACAATTACACCACTATTTCTGTTCATGTAACTTTAGAAAAGATGTCCTATTGCCATATGGCTAGCAAAAAACACGATCACCAACAAAAAGAACCCTTTGAAAGCTTAAGTAGTGATCCTCGCTAAGTGACAACGGTGTTAAAACCATGGGGTGAGGTGATCGCGGGCTCATGAGGTCGGGAATATTTTGGTTGTTGCTGTAACATGCCTGACTAATAGACTAAAAAAGTGGAACGATTCATTTAAAGAAAAGAAAAGGAACAGAGGTATACTTACTCTGGGAAGATGAAGCTGTGGGTCTTTGGGTCTCTAAAAAAAGTTAAAATGATAATATCAAGAAAGTAGAATTTTCTAACCTACGTCTATCATATCCTCCTGCTGAGTGACTGTAAAAATAAACCAAACAAATAAAAAACACAAAACAAACACACAAAACCCCTACCGAGATATAGGTTAAGGAGCTTAGTGCGCGAATTATAGACAGATGTCCATAGGGATTTAAAACAGAAAAAAGTGGAAATACCCATCGTTACTCAGAGCGTCACCTACATATAAATATGACAAAGAAGTTATCCAAGACCCATGCAACGCAAAAAAATAAAAAAGTTTCACATAGACCGAGAATATCTTATTCAACAAACAACATACAGAAGAAAAAGGTAAAATAAGAAAACATGCGAACAAAGAGAACAATTATACCACTATTTCTGTTCATGTAACTTTAGAAAAGATGTCTTATTGCCATATGGCTAGCAAAAAAAACACGATCACCAACAAAAAGAACCTTTTCAAAGCTTAAGTAGTGATCCTCGCTAAGTAAAAACGGTGTTTAACATTTTAACTACATATGACTATGACAAAGAAGGTATCCAAGAACCATGCAAAGCAAAAAAATGAAAAAGTTTCACACAGACCGAGAATATCCAATTTAACAAACAACAGAAGAAAAAGATAAAATAAGAAAACACGCAAACAAAGAGAACAACAACACCACTATTTCTGGCCATGTACCTTCAGAAATGATGTCTTATTGCATCTTAGCTAAAAAAATAACCAAGATAACCAATAAAAAACCCTTTGAAAGCTTAAGTTGTGATCCTCGCTAAGTGATAACGGTGTTTATATACCTGGGGGTGAGGTGATTGCGGGCTCAAAAGGTCTGGAATATTTTGGTTGTTGCTGTAACATGCTAGACTAATAGCCTAAAAAAAGTGGAACGATTCATTTAAAGAAAAGAAAAGGAACAGATGTATACTTACTTAGGGGAGGTGAAGCTAAGGGTCTTGGGGTCTCTAAAAGAAATAAAAATAATAATATTACGAGAGTAAAATTTTCTAACCTTCTTCTATAATATCCTTCTACTGATTACTGTAAAAAACAAACAAACAAACAAACAAACAAAACAAAAACAAAACAAAACAAAACCCCTAACGAGATTAAGCTTAAGGAGCTTAGTGCGCGAATTATAGACAGATGTCCATAGGGATTTAAAACAGAAAAAAGTGGAAATACCCATCGTTACTCAGAGCGTCACCTACATATAAATATGACAAAGAAGTTAACCAAGACCCATGCAACGCAAAAAAAAATTTAAAAGTTTCACATAGACCTAGAATATCCTATTCAACAAACAACATACAGAAGAAAAAAGATAAAATAAGAAAACATGCGAACAAAGAGAACAATTACACCACTATTTCTGTTCATGTAACTTTAGAAAAGATGTCTTATTGCCATATGGCTAGCAAAAAAACACGATCACCAACAAAAAGAACCTTTCCAAAGCTTAAGTAGTGATCCTTGCCAAGTGAAAACGGTGTTTAAACCTTGGGGTGAGGTGATCGCGGGCTCATGAAATCTGGAATATTTTGGTTGTTGCTGTAGCATGCCAGACTAATAGAATAAAAAAATGTGGAACGATTCATTTAAAGAAAAGAAAAGAAACAGAGGTATACTCACTTGGGGGAGGTGAAGTCGAGGGTCTTTGGGTCTCTAAAAAAAGTAAAAATGATAATATCAAGAAAGCAAAATTTTTTAACTTACATCTATAATATCCTCCTACCGAGTGACTGTAAAAGATTTCCCTTTTATGTCTTGGTTTGTAAACTATGACACTTGATTTAATTATATTTATCGAAAGCTTATTGCCTCGGCACCAGTCTGTTGAGTTAGATAATTCTTCATTCAAGGTTTCCTCGATAAAATTCCAATTTTTAGGAGTGGAAGAGATCTTTGTATCATTGGCAAAAAGAATGAAGTCTAAAATCTTTGAGACATCACACATATCATTGATGTAGATTAGAAAGAGCAGAGGCCTAAGAATGGAGCCCTGAGGAAAAACACACTTGATATTTGAATAGGATAAATTAAATCCAATTAACTGAGTAAAATGTTGTCTGTTGTTTAGATAGTCTTTAAGCCAGTGACATGCAACACCGCGAATACCAAAGAGAAGAAGCTTATCAAGTAAATGTGATGGTTCACAGTGTCAAAGGCTTGAGAAATCAATGATTATACCTGCTGTTATCTCATTATTATCAATACAGAAGGAATTTTGTAATATGAGAGTGCTAAGGTGTATTCAATAAAATGCTGTTTACAAAAACCGAATTGATCATCGAATAGTATCTTATATTTAATTAAATAATCAATATTATTGTTTTTTCAGAGGGCACAGTAACGAATCTTGCAATCTGATTGGTTCTTTACCAGGTCAGTATTTTCCTATCTCTGCCCACGGGCCACGGTAACGCTTTCGTGAGTCGCCGAGTACATCCCAACTTCCGTTGTCATTTTTCATAAATATACCTCGTTCTCCGGCTGGGCAGTATTTTTAAGCAAACACGTCGGTCACTACCTCAAGCCGATAAATAACTTATGAATCCTCCCTTTTCTCTCTATCAAATCACTTTGGTTGACAGAAAAATATTGGTTTCAGAATGAATTTGTATAAACAATAGTGTCATTACGTTGGTTGACAAGCGGCCTAAAAACCGTCTGCAATTAATTTTAATCGTTCACAAAAAGTACCCAGAAAGTTGAAACGTGAGGTATTTGGTTACAGTTAAACTGAACGATGGAACTTTCATTCAATTAATATCTGAATTTTCTCGAGCAATTTGTTCATAGTAAAAAAAAAGCGAACGAAGTTTTAATTTAAGTTCTACAACAAATATACGCTCCTGGTGAGTCTTTCCAATTCCGTTCAATTTGGACATTTGTACCTTAAATTGCACAACAGAAATTGAAGGAATTGAGAAAAGGTTGCATTAAATTCCCTTGTGTCTCGTTGGAGTGTGCCGTTCGAATTTGGTTTTTGTGAAGGAAAGATCAGAGTTAAACACGCCATTACAGCAAACAAACGAGCAAACTCTCACAACTTCAAAATAAAAAAATGAATTTACTCACAATTACTTTCCTCGCCGTTTACTTAATGAACAGAGGTAAATCTTCGTAAATGAATGAATGGTCGATGAGAGTAAATAATACTTTCCGTTAGATCATTATCTGATTTTTAAGAAAACATTGTCGTGACAGTCCTTGCCAGACTAGTTCTGTTGGTTTTCAAATGTTCCTACGATTTTTTTTTCTTGCGCGCTCTCTAATTGACAGGTGTCATATTGTGACAGATACTTGTAAAAATAATGTTTCAAAGTTTGTTTGGAAGCCTTTTAAATCACCTTTATCGTTATGGAAATGAAAATGTTTCGCTGAGGCATCTCTCTTAAATTTGCATCACCTCTATTTTAACTACCATTTACTCACTCAAAAATTGTTCAGTTTATGGCAGATCTTGTCGTATTTACGGCCATAAGTCATTCGGGTTCTTTCGGAAAGAATTTCGTCAAGTTTAAAAACAATAAATATGTTATTTACCGGCTAAGGGTCGGTCCGTATGGTGAAAAACTGTGACCTCGGTCTTGAAAATGCTGCCCTCGGCCTACGGCCTCGGGCAGTATTTTCAAGACCTCGGTCACAGTTTTTCACCATACGGACCTCCCAGCCAGCAAATAACATATATATACGATCGCAGAAGAGTTTTCCTAAAATTTTAGAGAAAGAGGGTAAAATAGAAATAGGTCTGTAATTTGAAAATAATGACTTACCACCAGTTTAAACGATGGTACGACACAAGCAATCTTAAGCTCTACTAGGACAACTCCAGAACTTAGCGATGAATTAGAGATATGAGTTAAAGAACTGCGAATTGAAGTAATTGTTTCTTTCATTAGACTTGCCGAAATATTAACGAAGCCTGCAGCTTTCCCAGAGTGCAAAGTGCTACAAATATTGACCACTTCATGCTCAGAAACTTTATCAAAATATAAAGAATTAATAAAATCCTCGGAAAGAAAGTGACGGTGCGATTTTTGAGATGCGGTAATAATCCTAGCTAGACTGGGACCAGTATTTGTGAGGTGTCTATATAAAACTGCTCTGTAATTTGTCCAGGATCTGATGAGTCTTTGATGTCAAATTTGAATAACGACGGCAATGTCAATTTTGAAGTTTTTTTGTTCAGGACCTCATCGAGCAGCCTCCAAGAGTATTTTACATCCGTTTTTGGCTCTTCGATCTTCTTAGCTTAATATTGACTTCTAGCTATTCGATAAGACTGATTGAGTTCATTCTTATAGCATTTGTGGGGTTGGGTTATTAAGAAAACGCTTATATAGTTCCTTCTTTTCCCGAATTGATTTAAAAGTGCTTTAAAAAAAGCCAGAGTTCAGATGTTGTACAGCCTTTGGCCCTAACCTTTTTTTAAAGGAAAATATTGGTTAAAATAGCGGTATATTTCTCAGGGAAGCTTCTATAGACTACGTACGGATAATTATAACCGGGCAACTCCGGCCAGTTTATATTTTCTAGCTCAGACTTAAATCTTGTTATATTTTGTTGATTTTTGAGACGAAAGATAATATAACTGTAGCGGTCACCAAAAGCATGCTTATAGCCCAATATAATGGCAAAAATCGGAAGAGGATCAGAAATATTATAAACAAAAACTTCATTATTGTTGGAGAAAACACAAACCTATTCTAAATTGGAAGAGGATTAGAAAATAAATTAATCAATGTGGAACCTTCAGCAAGATTTAGACAATAAATATATCTTCTTTCTGGTGTAACAGAAAAAAACATTATCAGATTTTCTGCAGTACCTACAACTTTTCATAGTTTTGAATGGGGAAATGAAGAAAAAACATGGGAGACATTATTTTCACGAAGGCCTAAACTCAGACTGTCACATTCTCCTCATTTACTTAGACACTCTTATGACAGAAGAGTTAAGCAAAGCATAGCTCAATTTCTTCGTAAGAAGATACAAAATTAATGCTGATCCTGTCGAATAATTGAATTTATCTAAATTCATTCTGATACCGAAGATTGACAAGTTAATATACCATAATCTTTCAAAAAAATCATGATATGAGATTTCCATCCTTGTCTCAGTAGTAGCTGTAAAATTAATATTTCTGGGACAATGCAAAACCAAAGATTAAAAAAGTGTTCCGAGTTTGACCTAACCACTTTTCTTGTCCTTGGTTTTGCATTGTCCCAGAATCGTCAGTTTCCTATCTGTACTAGGCTTCATTTTCCTAATCAGAACTCAAAGTACATGGTGATTCTCTTCCTGCCGCCGAGTGAGCTCTACAGGAAGAGAGCCTTGTGGGTTATATTTATATGACGAAAAAAAATGTTCCAAATTTGTCGAAGGGTTTACTCTAATTCCTGCCAACAACGGAACTTACAGTCGAACTTATAATAATCAGTCACCCTGTATTGAGCGGTTAGTTGTCAAAGTCCCGAAATTGTTACCCCTTATTTGTTGTAAATTTCAACTCTACAAAGCGTTCACCTCTATTAAGCGGTCGTGATCACTCTTTACTGAGTCTCAACGGCCTTTTTGTAATGCTTTCCACCTGCGTTGAACGGGCACTTAAAATGGAACCAACCAAATATAACTTTATGAGGGAGTTTCTGTGCTTTGAGCGGTCAATCGTGGCATCAAATGACATTTTTTTATCGCTCTTCGTAATACCATCATTCTGTAAAAGCTACATAGCGGTCAACCTGTATGAAGCAGTCACACTACCTTTCTCTGTTTGTGACCGCTTAGCATAGGTTCGGCTGTAATTTTCTTTTCTATTAAAGGGAGAAGATATAAATAGGAATAGGGATGAGGAAGGGTATCGAAATGGAGGAAAGTGAGGAGAGAAGTGGAGGGAATGAGGGCGTGAAAAGAAAGAAGACAATTCTTAAACAGAGTAGGTTGCAGATAACATTCTGAGTTCGATGATAAACAAATACCAGTAATAAAGATTTTGGTCGTAAGAAAATGATTGATAAAAATCAATACAATCCTATAAAAGTTTGGACACAGTTTAAAATTTCCTCCTAAACTGACATTGAGAAAATTGAAATAGAACAAATTGTACTCATTTGATTTTGGTAAAGGTGACGGAGTTTGGATATCTAAGGGTAGAAAATAGCTTCTTGTTAGTGAAAAGAAAAGGATTGATAAAAATCAATGTAATCCTATATAAGTTTGAACACATTTTGAAATTTCCTCTAAAACTTACATTGAGAAAATTTGAATAGAACAAATTGTACTTAATTGATGTTGGTAAAGAAACTTCTTGATTATGAAAAAAAAAAGGTTGATAAAAATTTTGTTACGGGAAAATTTACTGATTTTTCGTGTGTGTTTGAAATATTTATTCGTAAACTTTCACATTTAACCATATTCAATTGTTCGAGTTCATACAAGTTCTTTCATCCTAGTAAATCAAAAAAAAGAAAAAAAAAACCACAGTAGCTTTTGGAAAAGATTTTGCGTGTAACTCGCTTTCATTATGCACCTGCATGTCGATACTTTTGTTCATCATTACTAGTGGAATTTTAGGTAAATATAAGTCTTAATGGTCTTTCTGGAAAAATTGGTTTTCATGGAAGTTAGCAGCTGAGTTTATACTCGTAACTTTAATTTATTTTCGAACGATAGGTTTCCACACCAACCTTGCATAGATAAGCAGAAACTTTTAATTGCTTTGCCGTTTTTATTTCCTAAGCTGCTCTGTTTATTTTCTATATCAGAGCTGTGAATTCGCACCTAAGTTCCTATTTTTAATGGCCTCGAGTTTATTGCATCCGTCTTTTTAATTTTGAAATTCTTTCCGTCGTAGAAACAGATGGAATATTTAAGTAGTTTGCGTTTAACTTCAAAGAGACTTTTTTCCTCTCCTTTGTGTCCTTATTCAAATATTGTGATTTGTGTAACAATGGAACCTCGCACCAGTTCATATTTAAGCAAGTACTTTGCAAAGTTTTTTTCGATTACATCCACGACGGCGTGTCGATTATACAGACGACAGCGTGCCGATTACAGTTTTAGTTTTGACTCTAGCATGATGTGTGTTAGAGCGCTCTACGAATAAAAGTCTACTGTGGAACCAAAACGCTGTCTCTTCCTTGATGTCCGCACAAGCTCACTCGAAGTAGATCTCCGTGTGCCAGGAAATCGTGACGAGTTTCCGTTCTCATTAACAGTGTGGTCTCTAGCCAGTTAATTCCCCCCGTTTGCACCTTCCCGCGAAAAGTCTAGTTAGAGTGCGCGAAAACCTATCGTCACAATTAATGCAATCCTATATAAGTCAGGTTAATGTGTAGTCACTTCATATTTCCCCGTCATGACGTTTTGTGATCAATACTTGGGACAAACTCGAGGGAGAAAAGAAACATATCCGGATGCTGGTTTACAAACATGGAACTTGAGGGGTTCTCGGAACCTTGGTCAGTACATTTGGGTCATCTGGAAAGGTTAATGAGCGGGAAGACTTACCTAATGCTGGGCTCGTCGTCACCTTCTTAATTCCACACGGAAGCGTCTGAGTAGGTGTGCAGTTTTCCTCTAAAATTGTAGGTTATATAGAAGAAAAATAATAAAACCATTAAAAACAAAACAGAAGAAGATTAGGGAAAACAAACAAGCAAAACAAATCAAAAAAGAAAAGTAACAACACGAATAACAATAAAAAAAAGTAATAGACCAAATACAGCAAAATTTCTGTGTTTCTCTTTCCTTACAGGCTACATCTACTCTTACGAAGCTAGCCTAACTACGAATAAAATCAATACCTTGAACCTTAACGTCTACGGTGAAGATATCATGTCCAAAAATATTCTCGGCGTAACAGGAGTAACGTCCATCTTGATTTGCAGTGACGTTGCAAATTTTAAGCCTTGTTTCTGAAGCGACATTTGATGTATTCTGTAAGAGTCTCCCATTATGGCTCCAAGTTACCCAGGGGTAAGGATAGCTCTGTACTAGCGCATCCATATGAAGATTCATTCCTTTAATGACATGAATCGATCGAGGACACTCTGGTATTAATTTTGGGGGGTCTAAAAAAAATTTAAATTATTCATTTAGCTGAAAAAGAAGAAAAGCAAAAATGCAAAGAAACAGCATCCAAAGTGATGCGATTATATAAACGAAAGCGAGGAGTGAAGGGGGGGGGGGGGGGGGAGAGGGTGGTGCATGAGCAGTGGTGAGAGCGCCCGCCTCCCATCGCTGTGGCTCGTATTCACTTTCTGGACGTGGCGCCTGTTTCAAGAAGGTCCGGCAAAGTTTGAGGCCAAAAAGCCACATTTTTATATCAATATTTAAAGAACAGAGAAGCGGCTCAGAACAGTACATTTTAAGGGCACGTTAACTTAACGAGATCCTCAATAAACGGTCCCTCCCTGCCCCGTTTTTTTTTTTATTTATTTTTTTTTTCCATAGGTTCTTCAATTAGCCTTCTCCACATTAAAACAACATTCCAAATTGCATTTCGACCTGGAAACCACGGAGAAGAAAAGCCACCATGTGGACTGCCCACTTAAGTTCCCACTGTTATTACCATGAATAGATTATTATTATTATTATTATTACTATTATTATTGCTATTATCATCATCATTAAACACATATATAAGCATCACCTTGGGCAATATTGAGGATCGTGGTGTTCTGTATTCTCCCTACATAATACTCTTCGGCGGAACAGATAAACATTACTCCATCATCCGTGGGTTGTACCATCTTAATAACTAAGGTTCCATTTGTGTAAACGTCAAAGTTTGGTATATCGGCTTTTGTTTCATTCATACTGTCGACATACGCTATCTGGAAATCCCTCCAGTCTGTGTCGCAATCATTGTTCCTGGGAGAGCAGCGATACCACTTGATTTCTCGCACACTTCCTCGATAGCTGAATGAAGGGCATGCCAGTAAGAATCTCTCGTAAACTTTTACTGTAACCTGAAGCTCAGCGCCTATCAAATTAAGGGTAATACAGTTTTCACTTTGTATTTTAATATTAGAACTTTTAAAATCATTCGTATCATAGCGGAGCTCGCAGCACGCGCAGCGTAGCCCCACCATTATACAAACTAGTAGTAACCCATCAAGCCGAAAAAATTTGGACTTATGACCGTTCGGGTCATAAGTAGCACCTTGTAAATTAAAAGGTGCTACTTTTAGCATGCGCGGCCAATTGTACCGCGGGCACTATCTTAGCTATTACGTAATGGAAGGGTGGAGAGAGAAGGTAATGCGCAGGCGCGATTGCGTGCGTAACTTGGACACCTCATTAGTGTGCGCTAAGAGACACCGGCAAATAACAATGAAGTGCGCATACTCGAGTGCTAAGCTCTAGAGCTGCTCACCGCGGACACACGGTTAGGCATCACACGAGGGCTTCATGCGGGCTAGTAGATGCGAAGCTGCGTAAGCAAATAATTTGCAATCCGCGTTTTGAGCAGGAAATCAAACTAGTTAGGTTTTAGTTGAATAGTAACTCTCAGTATCTTGCAATTTATAATCAACTCGGAAATTGTCATCATTCAAGTTCGTGGAGAGAAGATTTTGAGTCAAAATAGGCTGAAAAGAAAGACAAAGAGCGACCTTAGAAAGCAAGAAGTAAAAGGCGTAAAGCGAGTCGAGAAAAATGCACAAGAGAGCTAGAAAGGACGCCAAAATAGGCAGAATACGGCGAGGGGAACGCGAAAGGGAACAAGAAAAGGCATATGTAAAAAGGCGAATTTCTTGTTAAGAGCAACGTGAGAAGGAACCACAAAGACGCTCCAGCAGACAGACAAAAAAGAAGTTATCAACAAAGAGAAACGACCTACGAAGGATCCGAAAAGGAAGAGGAAGTAAGTCGAGCCTTATCTGGGTTTTGCACAACGGCCCAGAAAAACTCAAACCTTTTTTTTTTTACCAATTGTCGTTTGATATTAGCTTCAGTTTATACACAACTCAAATCGCGTTTCGGTAAAACATTGACTTTGGCATTCATCGCGTAAAAGCCCTCGAGCCGGTTAATCGCTCGAAAAACATTACATAGTGTTCGTATTCTTCAAGTTGTTTCTCGCTCTATCGTTTGGAATGTTTAATACAATCGTGGTGTTAAGGGAAAAGAAGTTATCCTACGGATTTTATTTTCCCTAGAAAGTTTTCAAATGATAGGGAACGGTGTGGGAAACTTTCTACCTCTTTTTCTCTTCAGTTAACTATAACAGGATTTACTCTATTCTTTAAAAAAAAAAGCGCGCTTTGTCGAAATGTGTTGTCTTATCCTAAGAGCGAAGCGATGGCCTTTCCAGAAAATGAAATTGAGTCAACGCTGTTCATGTTTACATTAAGTCTGACGCGGTAATTTGATTTTGACAATATTGCTATATGAGAACCGTCAAGCAAACGTGTGATGTAAACGAACTCACTGGCAAACTGGAGTTAGTCGTGCGGAATGAGTGAATTCCATTGTTTGGTCGTGGTACCTTTCCAGTGTTATGTTTTTATGCTTTCTACTCGATTCGTTCGAACTTCAGGAAATGGTTTGTATCATAAAACATGGAGCCACTTTCTCTTTGCTCAACATCTCGAGGCGTACTTAATGCTTGGGTTATGATGAACGTGCTTGCGGTACGATAATTTTACTCTTAATGCTTGAAACTGAATGATCAATCTATTAAATTAATATTCATCGCAAGAAGCGTCCGAGCTTAGTGATCGTGTAATTGAACAGAGTCCTGGCAGTTCAGCCCACAAGCACGCTGGTAAGCACATAGTCATCGTAAGTAATTTTTGGTTACAGTTTTCCAATTCTAAGATATTCTCTGTTGAACTCATTGAGGTACAATCTCGGAATTGGTGATTATGAACGATAAATTTGTAACGGTACAATAATTTCGGGAAGTTTTGTGATCGCATCATCAGTTTACAATTCGTGAACCATTTTGAATTAATTGAGTCACACCCTCGGAATTGCATCAGTAATTAGGAACGTTGAATTCGTATATGTAGCACAAATGAAGTACATTTTAAACTTTCCATATGATTTTTGGAAACTATACTTGAATGACTCTCAACAAATTGGCCTGGCGTAACTCGTTGACTCAATTTTTTATTTTGTAGCCCCAAAACCCGGCTTATGACTTTGGAGGCACTGAACTTGATATACGATATCTTTTCACGTGTGTTGTTATGGCTTTTCTCAGGGCAATAATCATATTTATCACATAAACTGCGGTGCTATACAAGGATTTCCGGCCCTGAGAAAAGCCGTACCAACACACGTGAAAAAATATCGCATTTTTTTACGTGCGTTGATATAGCCAATCAGCTGCTTACACGTCAATCGCCTTTGGTGCCACTCGGTCAAGTTGATGAATGAACAGCGAAGCATTCACGATTCTCACTAAAATTTGTTTGTCGGAGTTTTCCGAATTATGGCAGCTAAAACACTAAAAAATCCGTATCACCCTCAGGCAATGAGGTGCAAACCTTCCCAGAAGGGGAAGAAAACCAATACAATAAAAGAAAAACCGAAAGTTGCGTATTCCATGGCTTTGGTGTTAGCATTTCTGATGGCTATGGCCATGCAATTCATGTGATGTTAGTTTGGAGAATTTGGAATTAAATCAACCAGTAATCCCCTAATTGGTATTTTACTTTATTCTCATTACTTGTATGCTTAATATTCTATTGATAGTGTTAGGAGAAATTCTGTCCTAGTCACTAGTGGGACTAAAAGGGTTAAAATGGGGATTTCACTATACCGTAATGATTAAAATATACTTATGGTTTCAAATGTAACAAAAAAAATGTGATGAGAATGTGATCTTATGGAACAGTTACAATGGAAAAACCTGTTGCTGGTAGCTTACGTCTTCAATATTTGAATTTTCATGGGAAATACTTTTCTTTGAAAGTGAGGATACAGAATTTTTTAAAGCTATTTTTACGTAACAAAAAGCAAATTGACAATCATACCTTAATGCCTGACATGGTTCATTAATACATGTCAGTTGCATTTACCTACCATTGTAGAGGTGCCTTTAAAAATATTTTCTGGTGTGGTTGTTAATCTTTGTTGATCTTTGTAGACAAAATTTAAAGCTACCAAAGGCATTGAACTTCAGTTTTTATATACACAAGGCACCCTCCAAGGTGGAAGAGAAGACTATACAGTAATGTTTACTGGGCACTTCCATTTACTGTAATCATATACTCAAGTAATACTCTACATTTATAAAACTGATAACATGATGTCTTTAATAACTGTACATATTTCATATGCTCCTTGCATTTGTTGGCAACAATAGTTGAGATAGTTAGGAAGGTGATATGATAGAAGAAACGATCACAGAATACTTGAGAAGGAAACTTGAATTGTGCCAGCTAATTTCCTCTGGTGCATTTCATGTTTTTGATCAAATAAAAAGTTAATCCTTTGTGGGGTTTGCTTACAATGTGTCAAATCTCCAGTGTGGAGTTGATTCTTCTCAGATGTCAGCTGTTAAAATAAAGATACTAAAAATAGATGACCTTAAGAAAAAGTATACATCTTCTTAAAAATCGCACTGAAGTGGTGGCGTGATTGATTTATGATATTTAGAATGACAGAGGCAGGAAAAACACATTGAGCTTTTTCCTATTCACTGTTAAGTTGATTATATTTCGGATTCTACATTCAAACTGGGTGAGATTAAATTTTTTCATATCATGCTTCATTATGGTTTGTTTACATGGAAAAGGTAATTGTTATTGTAGCTTCACAGATGTTTTCACTGTCATCGCAATTTACATTCTTAACAGAGTTTTATTTAACATAAAATGTTTCAAGAACTTTCTTCCTTTATCTTCAATACTATTTACTATTTCTGAAGCACTATTATAACCCTTTACACTCTAACATCAGTATGCTTATTCTCCAAATTGTTCTCTATACATTTCCTAATGTGCTGGCAAGGAGAATTTGTTTAACAATCAAGAGGTTCTTCAGTTTATGATCATTTCCTTCATTCTTATGACCTCAATGTTTGATTCAGGGGTGATATTGAAAGGAGAAATTAGATGCTAGTCACTCTCAGGGATTAAAGGGTTAAAAGAGACAGGTTATTACAAACATTATAACTTTTGATTCAGCCAATTATTTTAATATGTGAATAACAGTTGATGTTTTCACATGTAACAGGATGATCAAGCTGAAGATGGCCTCAAAAAGGCGTGAACTTGACTGTAACAATTAGGTGACTAGACATGGTTTGATGCTACTCTGGTTTACAGATTCAATGAATGTAACCGAAGAAGTTACAATTCATAGACCCAACGTTTCGACACCTGGTTGCCGTGTGAACTTTAATATAAATTAGGTGACTACTTTGGAAACTTGAGCACTTGGTAAATACACCTTGGCTTGCAATTCTGATGATTACAGTTTGCTGAGGTATATGAAATTGTCAGTACCCAAGCAGGAACCTTCCACATGACCTGTACAATCATAAGCTATGAGATAACTTTAGAAAAATGCATTTGTGTCAATAGAACTACTGTAAGTACAATACCAACTAGTGACAAAAATTAATGATTTCCTGTAATCAATATGAATGTTTGGGAGAAGTTATGGTAGTTATTGACCCTTTCTTGCCAGGATGCATAGGATTCGAGGATTTAATGTATATCACTTAGCTTCAAACTTTCAATTTTGTATTTATTGTAACTGTTTACCATATCTATTTCTTGTACCTTGAGCCCTCAAAAGTTGAAGCAGGTGAGTCTATAACCTGACTTCATTAGTTTGGAATTATGTGAATATATAATTTTGCTGTGGAAGTTACCATATTATTATATGGATTTAATAAATACTCTTGCTCGAGCTTTCATTTAATGCGTGGTGTTTCTTACCAATGCTCATACCAAAATTAAACATTGATATAAGGAATTGGTCACAAGATACGTGAGCTTTAAAGGGTGGTAAACTGGAAAGGCA